TAGAATTCATGGACTGGTCATTGGATCGGGTCCCAGTGGCTGAACGGTATATGACTTTGTTTGTTTGTAACCCGGATGTCCTGGGTTTGAACCTTTCTGTGGGCTGGGTGATCTACTTCCGACGATTCCAAAACTAGGATGAAACAAGTGTCAAGTCCGCTTGGTTTTCAATGGTTCTCTAACGGATATCAATCCGTGTTCATCTCATACCATCACCTGACCATGACTTTCAGTGCCTCAAATCTACCATCACTGTTTCTTGCAATCAATACCTTCATGCTAAATCAAAAACACAAAGTCTTCTGACTAAACAGCACGAAGAAGAACTTGAACTGTTGACGCATAACAAAGATATACTATTAACGCTCCCTGACAAGGGTGCAGGTGTTGTTATTATGGATCGTAAAGATTACATTGATTGATAAAATGTCACATCTGCTTTCAGAAAGCAGTAAATTCTCCAAGCCAAAAGAGAACAACAAGATGGAATTAGTGGAAAATCAACTTATCGAAGCTTTAAAGAGAATGAAGGACAATCATCTCATTCGTGAAAAACTGTACGAAAAAATAGACCAACAGAATCTCTAATACCAAGACTTTATGGTCTACCGAAGATATACAGAGCTGGTCTTCCACTCCGTCCTATCTTGAATACGTCCGGATCCCTTTATCATCCAGTAGCTGGGTGATTAGCTAAAATCCTCAAACCTGTCAGGGGACAACTATCTAGTCATTCCCTTCGGGACACCTACCGATTTGTTAAATGTATTCACGTGCCCAGTGGAACACAGGGCCTCAAGCTTGTGGCTTAAAGTTTCTGTAGAAGTGTTTATTTTTACAGGATGGGTTTGCTGGCCTCATCACCAACCTTTCCTCTTTACCAGCATTATTTCTGGCTTAGCGAGGTAAAGGAGTGAGTCGGCCGAGGATCGAACCCCGGACAATATGCATGGTCGGCGAGCGTCTTAAGCTGTGTGCCACCAACGCACTGTTAAATGTATGCAGAAAACAAATGCTTCGAATAAACATATGTTGTCTTTGGATGTAGAATTCCTATTTACGGGCATTCGACTGACCGAAACCATATGTTTTATAAGCAAATACATTGAAGACAACAAATTTAATAGAGTCATACCTACTACAGATCTAGAAGAACTACCTTTGAGATGTACATTAAATGCACAGTTTAATTACAGTGAAACAATCTATAGATAGATGGATGGTATTGCAATGGGTTATCCCTTGGGTCCTCTCCTTTTAGACTGTTTTATGTCCAGTCTAGAAAATGGTCAGTTGAAGTCAACAATCCAAAGCTTTCAAATGTATGAAAGGTATGTAGATGACACCTATATTATTTGTAATAGTGATTGGAATGTAAATAATATATTAAAATCATTTAATGTTTGCCATCCAGTAATAAAATTCCCACTCGAAAGGGAGAACGAGTCTAATATTCATATCCTCGATGTGAACTTATCAAGGAGGACCGATGGAACTCTGAAGAGATCGATATATCGAAAGCTGTCATGGAATAGTCAACTGACATATTTCTACAGCTGGGTACCCACTGGTCGAGAACGAAACCTGGTCCGGTTGCTTGCAACTCGCAATCGGCGCATATGTAGCCCCGATACTGTGGAGGTTGAGTTAAATCTTTTCAGGAAAATCCAAATAGAAAATGGATTTCCGCCATGTTTTATAGACACGAATATGTATTCAGATTCTACGAAGCGTCCGCATCCAAGAAAATGAGCTTGGAATTCAGAGGTGGCTTAGCTTCTGATATCATGAAACGAAAGATACTGCAGTCTCTGAAAAGAACGTCCCCCGCTGTATCTTTGAGAATAGCCTTTACTAGTCGACCATTACTAATCGATAACCTGAAAGACAAGGTGCCGCTGTTGACCAAATCTGTGTGCGTTTATCGTGTGGAGCTAGGTCAATCGCTCGTTCGACTCAAGTTTTCTTCACGAGGTTGCGAGAAGACTATCTTGGATGGTTACGAAGAGGTGGGAGTGGAGGAATAAGGAGCGCGACCATTGAACATCTGGTCGATAATCATCACCCAACAATCTCTATAGCCTCCGCCGTTAAAGTCATCTACAAGGCAAAGAGTAATTTACCTAAATCCCTACGTACCCGACTCATCTGTATTGCTGAAGCCGTCTTTAGCTATCGAAACAGAAAAGCCAGATCTCTGTATACAGAAAAAGTTCGTTCAACCCCCCCAACTTTCATGGTCCCCTCTATGGTAAAGTATGATAATCCCCGATCATATTTTAGCTCTACCAATTTTTCATTTTTTCATTTTGTCTATTCAATTTGTAGTCTGTTCCTTATTACGTTGATTGTTACTATTACTACTCTCACTTTGAACTGTCCCCGGTATTATTTCGCTTGTCATTCTAAATCAATTCTGTTTTGCAACGTTGAATTCGATGTTATCAAATTTCATACAATATTACGTAACGTTTTTATTTTATTCGATTTGTCTACTAATCCTATAATTGCACACCCTTTTTCAAGTTCTATCCCTCCTATGAATTATTCTATATTTGATTGCATGGAGGATTTATTCATGAGCTGACATCAGTTAGAGAACCATTGGAAAACCTGGGAGTACTGGACAGCTGTTTCGTTCTAGTTTGGGACTCTTCAACAGTACGCACCCACCGGGGTTTGAACCCAGGACCTTCTGGTTACAAGGCGAGCTCGTAGACCATTGAGCCACTGGGACCCAATCCAGTGGCCCTTGAATTCTAACTTCTGCCAATTCACGACATAGCGCGACCACTTCCATGCAATCAAACAAAATCCCTACAAAACCAATACTTGAATATTCTATATTTGACATAAATTGTTTTGCCACTTGACATTTAACTATGATTATAATCACAAACATTTTAGTTTTATTATTATTTTATACATTCACACTTATGATTCAATTCCCTCACCGGATGTAACTTCTTAAAAACCATATATATATATAATATAAATTCGTTGAAAAGAGTCTCTTCATTGAATCACTTGTTTTGATTTTCTATATGTTACAATGGGAATATTCCATGATTTAAAAAGGAGGTTGAAGTTGGCATGACGTAATAATAATAATAATTTTTCCTTCACGTTCCCAGGGGAACATAGGGCTTAATTAAAGTCTCTTCATTGAATCACTTGTTTTGATTTTCTATATGTTACAATGGGAATATTCCATGATTTAAAAAGGAGGTTGAAGTTAGCATGACGTAATAGGTGTGAGATAATGATTAATCAATATGAATGTGTAGAATGGACAGAAACTAGTGGGAAGACGATAAACTGTTTTTATATAAAATCTGTATGAGTACACAATGTTATTAGTAAACAGTAATAGAGTGATAATAAAATATGGATGATGGGAATAATAGTAATAATAATTTTTTTATTCTCTCACGTTCACAGTGGATCATACGGCTTCAAGCTACAGGCTTGAAGTTCTCGTAGTAGTGTTCATTTTTGCAGTATGGGTTTGCTAGCCTCATGACTAACATTTTCCTCTTTACCAGCTTTTTATTTCTGGCTTAGCTAGGTGAACATGTGCGCCGGCCGTAAATCGAACCTAGGACCATGTGAATGGTCGGCAAGCGTCCTAATCGCGGTGGAACCAACGCACGAATAATAATAGGTGCGTACTTCTGATGAATCCCAAACTAGGACGAAACAACTGTCTAGTACTCTCAGGTTTCTCAGTGGTGATGAAATCCTCATCCAATCAAACACAATCCCTACAAAACCCATACTTTAAAATGAAATAATAATAAACCAGTGGGGATCCATCTAGTTGGGTGTGACAGTGGAGTTCTCGCCGATGACAATAGTTGATGGTCATGCTAAAATAACGAATTGATAGAAGTTGGAATTCATGGGCTGGTTACTGAATTGGGTCTCAGTGGCTGAATGGTATACGAGCTTACTATCTAACTGGGGGTCCTGAGTTCGAACCCCCCGTAAGTGTGTTATGTACTCGTCGCCAAATTATTATTATGTACTGGTCGAGAATTTAATAGTCCTGACGCAAGAAAGACGGAAATCAGAAGACCACTAGGTTTGTGATGATACTTCTATTTTCCAAACACAAGGAGAATCAATATATCACACAATAGTGTGTGAGCAAAAATATATATGAATGTCCGAACAAGTGTGTGAACAATCAATAGACAGTCTTAACATGATTGGCTAAGTATAATGGAATATCGATCCATATATACATAGCAAAATATATCAGACATGTCAACAAACACACATATTATATATAATATAAGGGGAATATACATTGGTAAAGGAGACAGGTTCATCAAAGTGAAATGGTCACAGGCTAAGAGAGCAACAGAAAGAGAGACCACCATACATATATATATATATGGATTTATATCAGAGTGGGTGCACACAACCGACGATTCCCAAACTAGGACGAAACAGCTAACTGTTCAATACTCCAGTGCTGGTTTTCGATGGTTGTCTAACTGATATCAGTATGTGGTCAAACTCGATAAAAATGTATGTTAAATTGGTATTATCACTTGTTATATTAAATATCATAGAATGTATGCAGCTGACGAGAGCCAATGAAATAAAATGCATCCATATTTATTCTGCACTCATATTTATACCATCTCTGGTTCAAACTGAGAAAAACGGAAGTTGTGTATGAAGTGTTAAATCATTGACAACTTTTCTAAAATCTATTATTCTTGAATTATTGAAAAGTTAATTTATTATATTAAACAATGTTAGAGGTCATTGTGAACAAAACTGCATAATACAATAAATTAAAACAAAAAAATACCAATCAGAAAGGCGCTATGACAATTGACATACTGGTGATTAGTTTGTCAAGGTTATTTATTTTCGAAAATATTATTGAACAGTACATGAACAGTACATATATATATATAAATATACACTGAGTTTTGAATACTAATCATTTGACTGTACGTCACCCGTCGACAAACAAGACAATAATGTTGAATGCTAATCATGTCTTAAAATCGTAAGTTATTGATTTCCTTCGATGCAAATTTCTTGAATAATATTTCTCTATTCTACAGGATACTCCATCGAAGTAGATATTTATTGTCAAGTCGTGGAAATGAATTTCACACCAGTGTAAAGTGTGATAAACTTGCTCGTACTAGAGCTGAACTGTGTGAAGCCAACAAAGTTGTCATCAAGTTAGGCAGTGCAGTTGTCACGAAACCGGATAAAAGTGGTCTTGCTTTGGGACGTTTAGCGGCTATTGTAGAACAGATTGCGGAACTTTGTCATCAGGTAATTCATTATTATTGTTACCATTATTATTATTATAATTATTATTACTATCACGATCTGTGTGTGAAATGGCGATTGATTGCCTTTACGGATTCCGACAAGACAGTAGGAAGACGTAGTATATCTGAGATGTGTGATGTGCATTTGAACAACACATTTCGGACACTATGATCACACACACACACACACATAAAAGGCAACAGAGCATAAAGCATAACAATTTAAATGAGTATGGTCAAAGATAAGAGGCAGAGAAATGAGGTAGATTGTGGGTTCGAACCCCGGTGGGTGCGCACTGATGGAGAGTCCCAAACTAGGACGAAACAGCTGTCCAGAATTCTCAGACTTTCCAGTGGTTGTGTTGCTTGAATGAAGCAAGTAAAATAGTAGTTTTTTCAGAATAAGAAGATGGTACCATCATTGTATATTTTTCATTGGCTTCTCATCAGCTTAGCTACTTACTGGCCAAAGACATTATTAAGTATATCTACAGAAACAATTTTAACATACTTGTACAGGCAGTTCATTTTTAAACAAAAATCAATCAATATATGCATACAGTAATAACATAAAATAATAAAATAATTTTTCCTTCACGTTCCCAGTGGAACATAGGGCTCCAAGCTAGTGGCTTGAAGTTTCTGTAGCAGTGTTTAATTTTTACAGGACGGGGTTGCTAGCCTCATGACCAACCTTTCCTCTTTACCAGCATTATTTCTGGCTCAGTGAGGTAAAGGAGTGCGCCGGCCGGGGATCGAACCCCGGACCATATGCATGGTCGGCGAGCGTCCTAACCGCTATACCACCGACGCACACAGTAATAATATATATATGTAATATTAAACACTATCCTGAACAATAATGGTCATACCCAATGGAAATTTTCGACATAACGCAACTAGATGAAAAACTGGCGAAAAAAGATCCAGTTACCAGGGTCAGGAAACACACTCGTGATAACTGTTTCTTTCTGAACACAGAAATCGGGTTTCAGGTACACCTCATGGAGATTTCTGGTTAGACAAACTTAACGAGAATTGAACTCTTTTGCCTGTTGATAATTTTGAATGATCTTGTGACCAAGAAATCTCAGCCAACACACTGTTTAACCTCGTTTAGCAAGTAATAAGTCCAATAAAGAAGAAGGGCTGGAGTCTCAACCCATAAAAATCAACGACACAACCAATGCTGAAACTTCAAAGCTCCAAAGCTTTAAGCTGTGGGTTCTCCTTGGAAAGTAAGGGTCTTTTCCATTTCACACTTTATTTGATTTCTAATATTTTTTCAATAAGCGTCGATACTAGTGAATGTTATGCAAAGATGTAAAATAAGTTTGCAATTATATGAGCTGATCTTTCCGAAAGAAGGGTTAGAATAAGCTGTCCTTGGAAACGACACACACACAACAGCTAATGATGCATGCACGATATTAGATATCTTCTTTCACTGTAGACTGAATGTCAGGCAATACCACTGATCGCGTGGTAGAACAATCGCTGTTGTTCACATTTCCTAGGAACCTAGGTTCTTCACAAAAAAAGTCTTCACTGTCATGACTAATGGAGAGCTGTTTGAAAGAGTTCAGATTCTTCTGTCCTAAAAAAGAAAACAGCTGAAACCAAAATCAAATGACGCAATCGGAAGTGAAGTTATTAAAAAAATCAAGAGTCATAAGATATTCTTTTATCGACATCCCTTGCAACTGCTTTGAACTTTTCATATTTAATCGAAGTTTCCACCTGTTGGCTAAAATAAGTGTCCATGGAATCAGACGTCAAAATAAAGTAGGTGGGTTTGATCAGATGTCACTAAGATAATCAACGCTCAAAATAAAATACGCATACAAAGTACTGCATTCGACAACAAACTGTAAATTACTTGTCTGATTCAATGTAGACGTTTCGGTTGGTTGGTTGATTGGATCAAAGTTTTCGGCCTCAGGTTGACAGGTCGTCGTCTGCTTGTGCAGAGGTTTCGACGATATCTGATTATTTAACTTGAAGTAAACTGGTGGGTGATGGTGACAAACAATGGAATACAGGATGAGCATTTCGTCTCCTCTGTGACTCGTACTCAGTTGGATATGCCTAAGTGTTTCAATGAGTGATGATGTTTCCTCTGCTAGTCATAACCCCCCCCTCCTCGAAGCATCTGCTCGAGGAGCCGACATGTCGACTTGAGGCTGAGCAATTCGTACCACTCAATCAACGGGAAAGTGAAAACTGTATTGAATAATAACTGATACCTATTGCGCAAGAGGTGGCTTTCGTGATCCAGGTGGTCTAGTGGATAACTCTCTGACCTTCGGAACGACTGGTGTCAGGTCCAAGCCTCAGTAAGGACGCTATCACTCACTGAGGAATGTAGTTATACTCAAATGACGAGTCCAAAATAGGAAAAATTTCGAATTCCAGACTCCACTGCTAGTCACTATCTACCAACACAGTTCAAGTAAACTATCTGTTCTAAATAAAGGCAATGCGTAACGTCTGATGAAATAATGTCACCGATCACCTATGTGAATTATCTTTTTTCCACTCCTCTGGATTCTAATGGAACATGGGCTTTGAAGTTTTGAGAGTGTTGGTGTTATTTTTTTCTCGGGTGGGGTTTCTGTCTTCACACTTAACTTTCCCTTTTCACTGGACATTCTACAGAGTGAAGGGGGTTTATTAGTGCATTGGTTGCAAATCATACCCGAAACACCTTCGTGGTCGACGACCATTGTGCCAACACATTACTAATTTGAATAAGGCATTAAGAAGACAAATTTCGCGAGATGATATCGTCATTTCGTAGTTTCTTTACAACCGCTTTACAACTAACATGGTTAACAGTGATAAAATAAAGTTCATGAAAATTACTCAGTTAAATAAAAACAAAAGTACATACTAATGACCAATCATATTAAGATAGGTCAAGCAGTCCAGGGTAGGCGAAGATTGAAGTCTATTGATTTTTGTACACACAGTTTACGCTGTATGTGATTAATCCAAAGTGCTTCCATCACCTTCAATAACCTTGAATTAGAGTTATGTGAAATAATTGTGAAACAGTCATTAATAATATTGATTTTGTGACCAGACATTAATAAGTGTTTTGCAATGGATGATGCTGGATTTCTACTAAGATTAATCGCGTTAGGATTTTCGATATGATTTACTAGCCATTTTGGAACATGTTCTTTTCGACGACATTGGAACATTCTGTTAGTTCTACCTATATAGGTGTCACCGCAGCTGCAGGTGAACTTGTAGATACAGTTTGAAGTAGAGTCCACAGAATTTCGTCCTTTAATCGTAGGTACAGGGATCGAAAATGTTCGGCAAGTGAGAAAAAGAGATGCGGCGTAGAATGTGCGTTTGATGGCTGACCGAAGTCTTTGAGCTGTCAACTGCATAATCTGGTCGCCCTTGAATGGTAGATTAATAAAGATGGCTTTCTTTGGTACAGAAGCTGTCTTTTCAAGATGTGGTCTATCCTTACCGTGACAATTGATGAAGTTTTCTGGATAACCATTGGCTAGTAAAACTGAATGTATATGTCGAAGCTCATCCATCAATGTGTCACTCGTACATATTTTTCGAGCCCTTGAGAACAAACATTTCACCAGGGAACGTTTATACTGGATAGGAACAAAACTGGTAAAATGAAGATATTGTCCACTCCACGTCTGTTTACGAAAAATAGAGCGCTGAATCGTTCCATCATTTCTCCTAGTCATAGTAATATCCAGGAAACCGAGTTTGTTATTGGATTCTAGTTCGGAGGTCACTCGAATATTTGGATGGATATGATTAAATAGGGTGATAAAGTTTTCAATAGATTTGCTATTATTACTAATAATAAGAGTATCATCTACATAACGTTTGTACAGCATAAATTCTCCAAGCATACCTTGCATTTGTTTCTCTAATTTCGACATAAATATATCTGCTAACAGGGGCCCCAGAGGGCTACCCATTGCAACACCGTCGATTTGTTTGTATGCTTTTCCTTGGAATGTGAATCGAATATTTTCTGTACACATTAAGATGATGTCCTTGATGTACGTTACAGGAATAGGTAAGTTTATCCCGTTGCTTGTGATGTAGTCGCAAATGAAATCAACAGTTTCTTGAAGGGGAACATTGGTGAATAAAGATTCTATGTCAATTGAACACATAACCTTTTCCTTAATGTTCAAGGTGTCTAGCATTTCTGTAAGATCAAATGAACTTTTTATAGAATGATTTGATAATGAGTCTCTTACAGGCGTAAGGACCTCTGTAATCCATTTGGCGATTTTATGGTAAGGAGAATCCGACATATCTAAGATGGGTCTCAGTGGGCTCCCAGTTTTGTGGATATGATTGGTCATTAGTATGTACTTTTGGTTTTTTATTTAACTGAGTAATTTTCATGAACTTTATTTTATCATTGTTAACCATGTTAGTTGTAAAGCGGTTGTAAAGAAACTACGAAATGACGATATCATCTCGCGAAATTTGTCTTCTTAATGCCTTATTCAAATTATCAAAGGGACTAATTGTTTTAACATTACTAATTGTTTGAGACGAGCATAATTATTCCGATTGATGGAAGATGGTGAGCAGTGAAATTAATGATGTGCACTTTGTTCATCTTTGCACTGATCATCTGGATTCAACTGCATCCCATGAGGAAGTAGAGTCCCCACTGAAACGTGAATCGCGGTGATCATGATTTTCAACGCCAAAAAGTGATCCACTAGGCCAGTGAAACATGAGAGTAATCTCTTATACAACAAATATCGGCTGGTATTTGTTGATTGATTTATACTGGGTGGAAGTACATCTAGTGGAGGAGTCTTGAACACAACGGAATACACCACATTCTGGATTCTTCTGTTAGTCGCTACCAACCAAAGAACACTATATGTTTACGTTAAAACACCATGAAAGCGGTCTTAGCATTAGGAACTAACATGCCAACAGAGAACAAGCATTTTTATCTACTTTAATCAAAGAGAAATATTGTTT